GCTAAAAATATTCCTTTAATGTGTTCTACTGTGGGAAATTAAATGTAGTGCACCCAGTGGCATGTGCCCTGCAAAATACAGCCTGGGCAGCTCAGAGTGAATTAACAAGTCCATCTTGGAGACCAAATTACCACCAAAGAGAAAGCAGTAGGAGGTGCTAAAGTGCTAAGGTTTCTGGTACTGTGGAACTACTTCCCCAGCTCTGTCAACAGCCAGAGGAATCAAATTTAAAGTCATTGTCCTTTCTGAACTTCTTTCCATCAATAAACTGGAGGGAAAGAACATCAGTGTCTTCTCCTTACCTTAACCCAGTTGATCCTGATGAGAAAAATACTTGAAAGAAAAATGTTTTAAATGTAAGATCTTGAAGGACTGAAACAGTGAAATCAATACATGAGTGTATTTTTAAACATCTGTAAAAACTGGAAGAAAAAGAATATATTGTGATCCATGTAGGGCTTTGCTGCTCTAAAGAAAAGGTGGAGACTCCTCTGGCACTGTGTAAAAGTGCAATATATCTGCCTGGCTTGCAGTTTGGACTGTAATTTCAACACCATAGCTTGGTCTTTCCAGATTTTGAAACTAAAACATGATAAAAATTACAATATTTTCCAACAAATTGAAAATATACTTTACCAGGAGGTAGAATCTGCCACTAAAATGCTACTATCCCTTTCATATCTTTAAATTTGGATAATAAAACTCATGGCTATTAAAAATATTGTGTTTGTGGCTATGGGTAATATTTTATTTCTCCTTCTCTCCTCTTCAATGTGAACACAGAAATTAGTTATAAATTGTTGCTAGCAATCTGCTCTGTAGATGCATAAAGAAAGTAATTTTGGAGCTTGCCAAGCATAAATCAGGAGTGACTTTAATAGGGAGTTATCAAGCATGGCAGCGTGAGAAAGGCTTCATCTTGTTTTAATAAGAATGGGCTTGTACCTCCAAAAGCAGCAAAATTAGAACTCATGAATAACTTGTGGTGAAATATTTTCTCCTTGGCATCCAAGACTACAGACTCCAAGACTGAAGAATAATTAAATAAAATAGGTTAATTACCAGTACTTGCAAAAATTAATTTCCTACTAGGCACGTTCTTTTATCTTTCTGACATTTTAAAATAAACTTGTCAAATGCCCACCACTGTGATTTTTGGTGTTAATTTTCCCTTTGCTCCTATTTTGGATTTCTTACAAAACCTTTGTTGTCCTATATGTTATATTGACCCTAAATATATGATTCCTTAAACCTTAAATTACATGAGTGGGTTTTTTTGTTTACTTGTTTGACATTTTTTTCTAGTTAGGGATGGCCATTGATGAAGGCCATTGGAGTATGATTTCCTTTTGATGGCACTTGTGGAAAGCATTAGTCATGATGTCTTAACCAACATACTTATTAATAAGTAAGTCTATATCCCAAATTCTGGGATATTGACATAGTAGGGCTGAATGACTTTTCCGAAGGTATTTAGACATTCCAGTGATGACAGCTGACCATGGAAAAGAGAAAGCCAACAATTTTATAATTCTGCGGAATTGTTTCCCCCATAGTTAAGTAATGAGGGACTTAGGAGGGGAGAAGAAGAGGTCCTGGAAGCTCTACATGTTGTGCACTTGTTAAAGTGCTCAATGGACAATTGTTTCCAAAGGTTTTGGTTGGGTGGTGATGGAGCCTAGGACATACTGCTGCTTCCATCACTCCATGTCTTCCCTACTGTAAAACACAGGAGTCATAGTATTTTGATGCCTGTTCACACTGTTTATTTGAAGATGCTTATGCAGCCCACACTGTGTCCTCACAAAGCTTACTCAGCCATACCACTGGACATTTCAGCCAGCACATCCAAGAACAAGTAACCACTATAAGGACACTGGAAAGGCTTCCTTGGCCAACTCAGGCTTTAGACCTACAGGAAGGGCTGTTAAATAGTTCGTTCCAAATTCTTGTCTATCAAAAACCACCAAAAGTCTCCCAGCTATCCAGTCCTCTGTAAGAATTCAGCCCCAGTCCTTCACATATTAACTAAACCCACAGGAGTAGCAGGGTTCCTCTTTGCTGCGTGTTGGTTCACAGACACTCTTATATCTACACAGCATATAAGCTGTTTGCTTGCTCTTGTTGACAATAGAAACAAGAGATGGGCAAGGGATTTACTTACAGGGTTGGGCCGTGGCAATGGGCTTTTTAAATAGCTGTGTGACTTTTGTCTGTGCATCTGGATTTGATGATTAAGCACTTTCTTTTAATGATCAGTGACAAAGTAAATAAGTTTATTGCACTTGAGGAGGCCTCTCTTCTCAAGTGGCAGATTATTGCACCTACTCAAATCATTGTGATTAGAATGAAAAATCCTACTATTAAAAGGCCAAGGCTTTTCATCAATCTGAATGCTTCTCTATTAACAACTCTGGCAGCATCAATGAGCCTTAAAGTGGGAGTAAATTATATTGGTATGTTTTAGTTTAAACATTACTTTAAAGGTGTTTTTAAGCCAACTTTAAGGCCAACTGTTTGTAAAGGAGGCCTTAATGGAATTGGGAATCATGCCCAGAGCAAACACGTTCTCTGTTTGGCAGTGATTAGTAATGTGTTCACAATTAACTAAATATAGGGTAACCAAATACTAAAGGACTTAAATGGACCTTCAGATAAAGCAGTAGCAGGTTTAGAAATGTACTTTATTAAAATCTGAGCCTGCTAACAAAGAAGCTGTAGAAGACAGTAAAGGGGCTTTGCAGAGATATCCTCATGGATAGTTCACTGACTGCGGGATCACAGTTCTTGGGGGTGACACAAAGTCTTGGGTTGAGGCATTTTCTTTGTGGAGAGTTGTTGGAAAGCCTTCTGTTTGAGACATCTGAAACTGCAAAGAGGACAAAACACTGGGGATATATAGTACAGCACAAGGAAGCCAGCAATAGATGGAATTGCCTTAGCAGTTTCTAGAGCCTGACTTTCCTTCTCGGAACTTTTTAGGATTACTCACTTATTCTTTGCAACCCTCACACCTTGTCATTAGGAAGGGCTTCTAGGCCACAGGTACCAAAGCAGTGCTATGTTCTGGCTGCTGTTGACAGTATGTAAATAACCCTGTTTTTTTCTATGCCTAAGCTGTTGTGCCCTGCTTGACCCCCACAAAAAGCTCAGGTTTTCTGTACAGTGATACTCACAGAAAAGTTGCATCTTTGCTTTGTCACCACGCTGATTTGCACCCTTCCTGCACCACAAGTGTGGCTGGTGCTGTTAAATGTCATCCAGAGTTTGCTCTGTGAAGACTGGGGAGTGCAGAAGGCAGTGAACCTCTACTTTCTGTGGGTTTTTCAATGAATTAAGGGATCCCAGTACCCCATGATCTAAGTAATAGCGACACCTGGATGTGTCTACTGCAGTCACATCACTGTGTTACACAAAGTCCCTTTTCTACCTTTATTTACCTCAATTTTTTATCTGATGATCAGATTTTGAATTAACATGAAGGCTAGTTTGTTGGGGTTTTTTTTTACTTATTTGCCAAGAAATGGAGTTCAGGAAATGGAAACTTGGCAGTATTACCCTCCCCCTAAAAGTATTCCTTCCTTTCTCACCATGGTGGTAAATATTTGTGCATGGCTAATGCAAAAAACACTAATGTTATGAAGCTTCACTCGTCCAACTTACATGTGCCACAATGACTCCATGTAGGACAAAAGCACCTGCCAAAAGGAGAAGGTGGAAAATCACTGCAGGAATATCCCAGGTTTTTGACTGTGTGAGCCAGGGCAACATCATGGGAACTACAGTATGTGACCAGGAAGAGCCCACTGCTGACAGACTCATGAGCCTCATGGCTCAGAGAGCATTTCTGCTGAGTATGATAGTCTGAACACTGTGAAGGATGGGTAAGGGTGGTTGTCAGAGTGCTTAGAGTGCATACATTACTTTTTAAAACATTTTTATTAATATTTTTTTAATTTTTTGTATTTGTTTTAGCCATAGTATAGCTTCACTGCTTAGGACTGGGACTCTGTCAGGGAGCTGAACTGCATGTGTGTTGTGTTATAGGGGTGGAGACAAGCAAAACATTTTTCAAACAGAGGTGAGTGAACTTGTGCAACATGACATTCACAGCCAATTACATAGATTTTGGTTTCAGAGGGTATCTTTTCCTTTCTCAAACCTCATCTTTAGTCAAGACAAAGGGCTAGGACATCATAAGGCAGTAGTTGTTGTGGTATTAGGAGCATTGCAAGAAGCGAAAAAATGGACAGGGCATCTTCAGGAGATCCATGATGGAGTGACTGAGTCAGTGGGTTTCCAAACATCCTCACAGCACAGTGGTTCAGGACTGGGTGTCTGTGAGGATGGCAGGCTGACAGGGTTGATCCCAGTCCCCTTGTGGATTTGTGAGATCCTGTGTTTTGGTTGCAAGAGCCACAAAAATATGGATAAGTCTCAGGAATGTGAGGCCAAACAGGGACATGTGCTTTCACACTGCAACACGATGACCTTTATCTTTCTTGGTGACCTGAAAAGCAGTGATTGCTGTGTAAAAGAAGCCTACAAGTAGTCAAGAGTCTCTAGAGCCTTCTCTCAACCAGCAGTGACAATAATATGGGGTGGCACAATCCTCTGCCAGAACCAAGCACCACAAGGCCATGAAGACTGGACACACCTCACACCTTCTTCTCATGTATCAGAGAGGTTTTGGTACATTCCTACATGGTGAGAGACCTCTGTTTAGAGAGAGAGGTCTAGAAGGGGCTGAGGGCCAGCAAAGTGGTGCCAGGCTGTTTGCATGGTGGTCCCAATCACAGAGCATTTGCCCTCAGCTGGGGCTTGAAGGGTTTACAAGACAGTAAGCACCACCACAATTCCATGGCTCTTTGACATTTATTCTTTGGTTTCCTTACAGACTCATTAGAGCTGAGGGGACTTTAACTGAGGACTAATCACCACTACTTTTGCAGCCTCCATTTCTCTGTAACGCTCTCCAAGCTGTGTTTCTCTGTTTGCAGGCCATTTCCCGGACTTCCATCACCACCATGGCCCCCACTGTCCCAGGCACGACAGAGACCTACACACGGACCCAGTACTGCAAGTGGCCGTGCGAGTGCCCCAAGTCCCCACCGCGGTGCTCCGTGGGCGTCAGCCTGGTCATGGATGGCTGTGACTGCTGCAAGACCTGTGCCAGGCAGCGTGGAGAGAACTGCACAGAGGCTGACACCTGTGATTTCCACAGGGGCTTGTACTGTGACTACAGCGGAGACAGACCTAGGTACGAAATAGGAGTATGTGCACGTAAGTGATGTACATATATTTTTGACTTAGATATACGTTGGCAGCTCCCCTCAGTCTGAGCAGTGGGTGAGGTTTATCTCATTAGATTACTGACTGCACGCTCATCTACTCCTCCATGCATCATCTTCCATTCCATTGTATCTGTCTTTGTTCTCAGGGCAGGTGGCTCAATGGGAAATGACATCTGAATTCTTGCTCTTTGAGTTGGCTGCAGCCAAGAGCAAAGACCAACCAGCACTGGGAGGTCTCCAGATGTGCAAGTAGATGATTCCATATTCCGTGCAACAGAAGGAGGTTCTGCAGTGGGTTAAGGATGAAGGAAGGGTAGGTGTGCAGCCAGATTTAAAGACAAGCAACGTAGGCATCTACATGAAAACGATGACATTAAGGGGATGCTTTTGGCATATTCCCTACTGTGGATCCTTTGAAAGGATAGCACGTGGTATCCTGTCAAGAGGGTCAGGAGTGGATCCTCTCCTATCAGAGCTTTTCAACACAAATTGAGGTCTGAGCCTTAATATTACAATGATTACAGTCATATTAGCTGCCATGAGGCAGAAGGATTTCTTCCCGCCTATTGTAACAAACTCTTGGTTTCACGTGACTGGAATGCTTTTACTCAAGCAGAGGAAAAAAAGTTAGGTAATGTTTCTTGTGCCAAGGATATGTTCACTTGTTCTGAGATCCAGAACATGACAGTGAATCTGATTAGCTCATAAATGTCAGAAATTGCTGACAATCACTCCTCTGGGAAAGATTAAAAGTGAAAGGATCGCAAGCACAACCACACAGATTGCTGATCAGAAAGGCTGTTGACTATTTAGCAAGTTATTAGAATATATGGCCATGGCTTTAGGTACGTAAACAGGAAAAAGTCACTTAGAGGTAGGGTCTTCTAGGTTGGAACATAACTATGAATGATCTAAGAGGAAATCTAAAGGTGAAACAAGACCTGGAGGAGAGCTGATTGTGAGATGAATAGATAGAATAACTGATTCACAGAAGAGGAAAGAGATTACAAACTGTGGGCTTTCATAAATTTAAAACAGCAGAAGTCACACCAGGGGCAGGTCTGAAGAGTGAAGCAGTTCAGGGAAGCTGACAGTTTCTCCCAGAAGTGATACAAGGTGTTGCTGTTCCTTAGCAGAAGGATGGAAAGTGTAGTAAGAAATGACCTTGGCTTTGCAGTAGCTCAGCTAGAGAAGAAAAAAAAAGGCATGCAAAAAGTGCAGTCTAACCAGATTTTTGCGGAATATGATCAAAATAACAAGAAGAGAAGTTACGTGCAAGGAGCTGTATGCTTAAACAGTGATTTTCAAGATTAGAAAAGATTAAGGTTAAGAAAAGAGGATATGAGATCATTCAAGTGTATTGTCTGGAGTATGTGGGAGGTCTGTAAGGGCAGGTTAGACAAACACTGTCAAGAATGACATCGTTACAGCTGGCCCTGGGTTGGGAGAGGAAAACAGGCTTGATGTTGTCTCAAAGCTATCAGCCTTCCTAGAACTCTTTAAAGACCTTCACGTTGCTTCACATTTGTTTATTTATTTAAATGCTTGCTTTCTTAGTTGGATATCTTTTGGTTTTTGCAGTCCTCCCATACATTACAGGCATTCAGTGTGTCTGTGGCAGCAGCACCACAATGTATTAAGATTGAGCTCCAGATTTTCCAGTGAGGTCTGGAGAGACTCCCAGTCTATGCTTTATCATCCTTACTACCATGACAATATATTCCCTATTATGTGATATCTGTGATTCTATGGTGAGGGGCATTGTGGCATACAGAGCTGAGGGGAATGAGAGGTAGGTCTTTCCACGGTTAGGACTGAAGTGGGTTGTCTCTGGCTGCCAAAGAAACCTGTAGTCTTTCCCTTGCGTTCATCATCCAGGTAGATGCATAGGACAGGATCTGCTGACATGTTCTTTCTTGTACCCTGGGGCACATATAGGCTGCATCACCCCACTCTCAGCCCATCAGGTTCTGTCCTGATCACAGGGTGAGTGAAGGCTCATGTGAGTGGCACCTTGTTGGGTGTTGGGGACTAACTGCTGTGAGGAATTTGCTTTGCATATAGGTGCTATAGGTCTAGAGAACCTAGAGAATCCAGAGCACACAGGTCTAGGGAAACAATATAATATGTGGAAAACTAAAGATACTGAAAGAACTAGGAACTGGTTTTGGGAAAGGGAATGCAGTCAAACTGGGGGAAATTCAGGCTGTATGTGGACTGGTGTGCTGAGGTGTATCCCAGGATCTAACCTCCCAGACATGAAATAAGAACCTGTTGGGGGCCACTACAGCTCTCCTTTTGTTGTTGGATTTTCTCTGTACCGAAGCAGAGACAGCAGAGTGCTGAGCACACGCCCAGGTGGGGAGTCAGGCATTGTGCACATGGGGCTGGGATTAGGGATGTGCTTCCAAATTGCTTAATTTCAGACTTAGTGAAGTTCTGCATGAAGGCATTCAGCAACCCCTTTGTGTTTGGAAGTGTTCACATGGTGAGCCTCTTGGTGTAGGAGATTTGAAGAAGGCTGTTCTCGTAGTGTGGGAGGGATATGCTGGTAGGAAAACACCAGGAAATACAGCATTTTCTTGAATTGTTGTAGTCCATGTGAACACCTAGAGATATACCTGAATTCTTAGGTCCAGCACTAAGTGATATTTTTTCAGGACAAAGACTGAAGCATTACCAAAATTGGAGCTGAGGATGAACTGGAGATCTAGATTTGTGCTTCAAATTCCAACAGCTCTTCTTTTGGTACAGAAGAAGGAATTTGTGTTTGATGTTTTCGTTCAGTCCATTCCAGAAATAGCCTTTGCAGAATTTTAATCCAGCATTTCAATTTGTGTTCCCCTGAAGCAGCCACATTGCTGCTCCATTTCCCACCAGACTTAAAACATAAGTGATCTGACCAGTGCGTGTGCACTGCCTCCATGTGACCAAACAAGAAACTAAACTTTGAATTTTCCACTGAAAGATTTCTGCCAGTGCTTCCAAATAACTGGCCATACCTTTAAAAATAACAAAACCCCAAACACTGCTGTTTGAATCAATATGATCCCTGTTCTCGGGCAATCGAAATGCTTGAATTTTTTTTTTTTTTGTAACTTTGCTTAAAAAAATACACCAAATAATTATTTTCATGGCTTTATAATGCATACTTCATTTTCCTAGAAAACTATTCTGTGATAAATCCTGTGGGTAGGATCCAGTTGCCGAAATTTAGGAATCCAGTGCCTTTTAGGTGCTCTTTTGCTACCTTGGTTGTCTTTCCCTCTCTGCTTCAGATGGGTACAAGTGTTGTGAAGAACTGTGTCATATATGTGACCCCATATAGTCCCTCATATGTCTCTGAAAGCTTCAAATTTTGCTCATTATCTGTTTTAATTGCTTTGATTGTTCCTACCGTGAATAACTCCTACCACCATGCCATGAAATGATTTTTTAAGTAAGAATTTGTTGATAAAGCTTGTTTTATTTTCTAACTTATTTTTCCATGAAGCATTGAAAGATTCTCTTTTTTTGCTGTGATTTAGAATGAAAACAATTTCCTAGATGGTGTGACTACCCCTGTCTCAGCATCACGCTGAACACATCGCCCTGCAGCACTGCCGTGTCTCCGTGTTGGCTCTGGCAGCCCAGGGATCAGATTGGTAAAGAAACACATCAGAGCTGCTTGTTGCCAGCATTATTTTAATGGTGCTCTGTGTGTCTTTCTCTCTTTTTCTTTCTTTCCAGAAATTGTTGGTGTAGGATGTGTCCTCAATGGAGTCAGGTATAAGAATGGGGAAGCGTTTCAGCCCAACTGCAAATACAACTGCACGTGCATTAACGGGGCTGTGGGCTGTATTCCCATGTGCACAAACTCACGCCCTCCCCTTGTCTGGTGCCCAAACCCAAAGCTGATTAAGATGGCAGGGAAGTGCTGCGAGCAGTGGGTTTGTGATGACTCCAGAAAAATCAGGAAGACGTCTCCACGTCACATCTCCTCTGCAGGTATGGAGGCAGTGAGACAGACTTCTCCTTTGCCATCAGGAAGCTGAAGACAGAATCTACAAGCAAAGTATCAGCTTGCACTGCCAGACCTGGCAGGTATCTAGTCTTTGTGTGAAGGAGGCACAGAGACTCCCACACAACATGTGCTGAAGAACAGAACAGGCAAACCCATGTGGTGTGCTCAAACTCCTTAGCAGCAATGTGGATATGGATGTCTTATCCTTGGAAGCATTCAAGGCCAGGTTGGATGGGGCCCTGAGCAACCTGATCTAGTGTGGCATCTCTGCCCATTACAGGGGAGCTGGATCAAAATGATCTTTAAGGCCCTTTTCAACCCAAACCATTCTATGATTCTATCATTATGAGGTTCACCAAAGATGCTTATGCAACCATTCTGTGATTCCGTGTGACAAAGCCCCCTTTGAAGCATCTGCTGGAACTTTGAAGATATCACAAGTCCTTTTTAATGCTTCCTCTTTTTTTTTTTTCAGTCGGCCCTCTGGGAAACAGAATGGGTTCAGTTTAACTTGGGACTGAGGCTTTCTGTCTGGGTCATATTGCTTTGGTAGTGCAATTTTAAAGCCCCTGTATCTTAGTAGCCTCAAACTTATATAACACCTTGAAAACAGTTATTGTGGTGGAAGTTTCATTGCCAGATGGGCTAAATTGTCTTTGTGTTAGTATAGCTTTTCATCAGTTCTGGACTGATGATATTACTGAACTACCTATTTTGTGTATCACATAATGTGTCTTCTTTCCACACACGTTCGTAGCCCACTGCACAGAGGTGGTACCATTTGCCTCAAATATGATCCCAAATGCTTAAGACGGACTCACCTTGCCATATGTCAAATTTATCCTCAAAATGCCCTGCAATGCAATGTATTGCCATTAGCCACATTAGCTCCATATTTTAGACTATCTCACAAAGCAAAGCTCAAGGAGATGTAGGATGCTTGTTGTAAACCAGGATTTTGTTTCCTTGGTGGTACAGGATTTTTTTCCCCCAGTCCTTGGTCTATATTTTTACAGCACAAAACAAAGCTTCAATCTCCATTCTGTGGGTTAAACCCACCAGAGTTTAGCCCTCAATTCTGTCCCTAGTAGCTCTGAAATGTGATGCAGGTCCAAATTCAAAGCATCTGGTACTGAAACTGGCCTTATGTCTTCATGGCCTTTGTCCCAAAATGGGCATAACAGAGCTTTGCTTGCCTGACTTTCCTCTTGTAAGTAGAATTCTTACAGAAATACGACTAGCATTTATTATGTTTAGTATAGTGATTAATATACTAATAAACATAACAGTGAGTAAGCTCAGTGCAGCAGTTTCTACTAGAGTTTTTCCTTTGAGCTGTCCCATGAGCTGCAAAGCAGAGGGGACTTTGGCTGAGGCTGTGAAAGAACCTGAACTGGGGTTGTAGGCTGCTTTCAAAAGAGAGCCCACCCTTCTCCAAATGGCTACTGACCTCTCTGTGAGCTATTCAAACTGCTCTTCCTCACAGTGAAAGGCTGTGGCTGCTTCCCAAGCCCTCTGCCATCCAGCAGAGACTGTTGACCACTTTCTGCTACAGGGAATCAATTGAACGGGCTCAGAAATAAACCTTCATGGTGAGATCAAATCTCATCCCTTTTTTCCACCCGCTGGAACAAGCTTCTGTAATTATTTGTATTGTGGCAGCACCTGGGGGTCCCAGACAAGGACCTCCTTGTGCGAGGCTGTGAAGGGGAAGGAATAAAGAAATGAGCCCTGGCCCTGAGCACTCACAGAGCTGGGGAGTCTGACACAAGTAGGTCAGCACAAAGGGGGTGGGATGAGGGGCTTCACAGGAATGCTGAGCCACTTAGCTGTAGTTTAATTATTTGGGTTAGTGGCCTGAATGTGTAATGAGCTGGGGAGAGGGTCTTTAATATGTAAAGCTGTCTTGGCTGAATAATGTGGGGTTAAACTGTCTCCACAGCCTATGAGGGAGAGGATGAAGCCTGGCAGAAGAACTGCATCGTTCACACCTCACCCTGGAGTCCCTGCTCAAAGACCTGTGGGCTGGGCATCTCCACCAGGATTTCCAACGACAACGACCAGTGCCGGCTCCTGAAGGAAAGCCGCCTGTGCAACATGAGGCCCTGTGAGGTGGATATAACCCAGCACATCAAGGTGGAGAGTGTTTCTTTGTGTGCCCCTTCAGCTTTTGTTGTGCAGCTTTCAGGCCTCAGAGGGCTGCACCTCTACATGGACTTTACTGTGCTGCACAGAGTTCCAAAATGTGTCCTCCCTGTGCTTCCATGTGCTGGTATGAAAACCTTGCCCTGAGAGCTTTAGCTGCAGCCAAAAGGTCCTTGCAAAGAAGGCCAAGCAGAGCCTGCTGTGCACAGTGGTGGCTTAGACAGACCTGTACTCATCTAGTGGAAAAGTAATGCTGAATGTCTGCTCGTGGCTGTGAACTCCATTTTGCAAGTATCCTACTGGGTTCACAGGTCTGAACATGTAAATCTGTCATGGTCTATAGGGATTCCTAACAGCTTCAAACACTTTTAAATACAGGAATCATAGAACAGAATCATAGAATCATTGAAGCTGGAAAAGAAATCCAGGATGATCAAGTCCAACCTTTGACCAAATACCACTATGCCCACTAGACCTCATTGTGAAATCCTATGTCTACTTGTTTTTGAACACTTCCAGGGATGGTGATTCCTCCACTTCCCTGGGCAACCTGTTCAAATGCTTAACCACTCTCTCAACTAAGAAATTTTTCCTAATATCTAAGCTGAACCTCCCATGGAGTAATTTGAGACCATTTCCCCTTGTCCTATCATTATCTACCTGGGAGAAGAGGCCAAGTCTGACTCTGTCACAACCTCCTTTCAGGTAGTTATAGAGAGCAAGGTGAATTTTATGTCCTACCTCATCACTTTCTACAGCTATCTGAAAGGAGTCTGTAGCCAGGTGGGGGTCGGTGTGTTCTCCCAGGCAACCAGCAGTAGGACAAGAGGGCACGGTCTTAAGCTGTGCCAGGGGAGGTTTAGGTTGGATATTAGGAAGAAATTCTTTACAGACAGAGTAATCAAACATTGGAATGGACTGCCCAGGGAGGTGATAGATTCACTGTCCCTGGAGGTTTTTAGGATGAGACTGGGCATGGCACTTAGTGGCATGGTCTGGTAACCACGGCAGTGTTGGATCAAGGGTTGGACTTGATGATCTCTTTTCCAACCCTGTTGACTCTATGATTCTATGTCAGCATCAAATATTAACCTCTCTTTTTTTTTATTTTCTTCTCTGATTTAGCCTGGAAAGAAGTGTTTGGCTGTCTACAGGGCCAATGAACCCATGAACTACACCATCTCAGGATGTGTGAGCAAAAGTCCATACAGACCCAAATATTGCGGCGTCTGCACAGACAACAGGTGCTGCACACCCTACAAGTCCAAGACTATTGAAGTGAGGTTTCAGTGCCCAGATGGAACTGAGTTTTCCTGGAAAATCATGTGGATCAATGCTTGTTTTTGCAATTTGAACTGCAGGAACCCCAATGACATCTTTGCCGACTTGGCTCATTACCACGATTACTCTGAAATCGCTAATTAAATTGGCTGAATGCTTGAATTGACCCATTGCTCTGATTTTACAGAGGTTTTAAAATAAAAGGAGAATTTTCATCCACTGCCAGTGTACAATTTTTTTTCCTGAGGTAGGATGTTAAATATCCTTGTTTTGCCACACTGTTTTGGAGAGGTCTTGAACAAGCAGGATTTTTAACTCCAATAGATCTTCATCCATTAACAGCAGCCAGGAATTCCTTCATTCACTGATTCCAGGACTTAAATGACAGCTATGTTGGCACTGCCATTTATCAGGCCAGCAGTTTAATTGCCCAAAGGAAAGAATAGTACACTAGTATGACAGCAAAATATGCTGTCAGTAGCTTAGACATGAGATTCAGACACTCTTATTGTCATTTCTTGAACAATGTTGTCTAAGATGGAAAATTGACATATATGTTTTATTTTTAACATTAGACATGAAGATTTGATGGTCTGACCCTTGGGACTAAAGTCTAGTGTCTGTCACACTGAGATCAGTGCTAGAACTGCCCCTCCGTCATTCTCAGTCAGATCCTTCTCCATGGTGAATTTCATGGGATAAGCCTAGGGGGAAGAATGTTTTTCCTGAAATCTCTTTGTGATGAGTCTGTCTCTCACTGCAATAGGCTGGGTCCAAGAACCTCTGTGTCCTGCTCTCCTTGGATTCACCTCAATCTCTTGGAGTATCTTGTGCCAGGGACATTTTCACGGTTCTCTACCTGCTCTGAATCCAAAATAGCCATCCCAGAACTCATATTTTCAGTATAGATCCTCTATCCAGGGGTTACGTATTGCTCCTAGGCTAGCTCTGCAGACCTGAAGGATGAAATGTAGAGAACCAGATGAGAGATGAAGGGGCAACACCTCATGCACCCATTTATTCACACAGAAATTGTGTAGCCTGTGTCTGGGGACCACCACCTCCTCCTCCCCATATGGTTATCAGCATGCAGGTCACTCCACTGCTGCCTTATCAGTGACACAAATCATTGTTTTACATGGCTGGGGTAGAGGAAAGGAGACATATGCTAAATGAGAAAACAGACATTAAGCTTCCCATCAGCTCTGTGAATGTGTGGATGCAGAAGGAGAGGCAATCCTTGTCACAGCTTCTGGTCCATTAGTTCCAACTGGGATGAGGCTTAGAGTAAACATCAAGGTAAAGCATTTTCTTCAGAAATGGTTTCACATGCAAATATCAGCTAAGAGAAGAAAAAAATCTGTCATTACCATTCCAAGCAATACATTTATCATCACTGAAAGGTGCTGGAGCCAGGTTTTTTTCCAATAAATTGCTAGTACAGCACCCATGCCCTATGGCACATTTGCTATTGCTTTACTTGGGAGAGAAGAAATGTGTTTCTGCATGGAGAACTGTAGTATCTGTTCCAAAATCCCTGGTGGCACAGTAGAACTGATTGACATATGGTCTGGAGATTGGACCAGTACAAGGCTGAACTTGGAATGATGCAAGTGTTTTAAATTAGTCACTTATTTTGCTTTAGTTTCAGTTGGCAAGTTGTCTCCATCTTGATAACCCAGTGGAAGCTAGATTAGTTTCTGGGAGATATAAATCTTTTTGGTTATGATGAATTAAAAGTTCTCGTGAGTGATCTGAAAACAATGTAGTCCCTATGTAAAGACAACTAGGAAAAATGCTGTGTATCTTCAAAAGCTGCTAACTCCAATAACATATTTGTTTGTATATAAGAATTCTGCCCACATATTTCCCATAGAGCTGGGCCATTCCTCAAGTCAAAGCTTTTATTATTTCTTTCTTTAAGCTTCCATGAAGAACCCAGTGGCAGAAAAGAAGGGTGGTATCTCCCTGCATGTTTCAACATTCTTTCCTCTTTGTTCCTCTGATGATAAGGAACCTGAGGTCACCAGCATTTTGCAAGATTCAGCCCCATGACTGCTTTGGCCTGGATGATGTGACAGCAGAGGTCATATCTGACCTATTCACCTCCACCCAAATGAGACCTCAGCACTAGCAAGACTAAGAATGTTACATTTTAAACTCCACCCCTTGGTAAAAAAGTCTCATGAGAATATACAAAAAAGAGGCCTTGGCCAGGAAGCGGAAAACATTGACAATGTTTTCCAAAAGGGAAAATGGTTTGTACTGAGACATGTTATAGGGAAGGCATACTAGGATCTCTCTTTCAGTATTTAAATCTAAATATTTAAATCTCATACTTAAGATCCCTTAAATATGGCTTGGAATCCTGTGTTCTAGTTCTTGCCCATCTTAAAATGTCATATATATATATGTGTGTGTATATAGATATACATATCACCATGGCTAGGCTTCGCAAACGAAGATTTGGGAAAGGCTCTATCCACATTTGTTACAAGCACGCTGGTGGCTAATAAGGCCAATACTAGATAGACATGTCCAATTGCAAAAGGCACAGCAGAAAGACTCCTTATACATCCATAAAATATTATGTGGATGCAGTTATATAATATTGTATGTAATATTATACATAGAAACATGCCCATGAATATATATGTGTATATTTACATATATATATTCCTATGGTGCAGTCTTTGGTGCATAAAAAGGAGTGCATATGTAATGTGTGTTTATATGTACAATCAGTCTTTCTCTGTTTTACATGTACACATAAGGAAACAAAACCAGGATCAGATTATGTTCAAAGAACTGTGTCCCTCAACAGGCTTGCTTTGCTTTGCAATTAGCTAATGCTGTAACCCTCTCAATGAAATGCTGCAGCGGCTGTAACACACGGCTTTCACTGCAAGATAAAAGAAGCTATTGAAAACTTATGCATGGCCAGCAGCTCCAGTGCATGTCAGTTTTTAGTGAAGTGAATGCCTGGAAACCACAGATCTTGCCCAGTGCACCCAAGATGTTTCTGTTTCTAGCCTGGTTTCCTAAGGAAGCAAGGCATATGCAACCCTGCCATCCATTTGTTTGTCTGTCTGTCAGCCAGTCCCTTTGTGGGAAATGCCAAACAAAGGGGGCAGAAGTGTAAAGATCTCAGAAGCGTTGCAATTCATGCAAAAAAATGAAACCAAAGAGCAGGACAGGGAAGAGGACCACCACATTGTCCCTGTCAAGCCCGTGCACATCTGCCAGGCAGCCAATGTGTCCAGCATGTCTGCAGTGTGGTCCAAACACCTCAGCAGCAGTTTAAAGGGGTTTTGAACAGATGCACCAGTTGGAAACCAGCAGCCATGGAGGAGGCACAGCTGAAGCAATCACAGACGGGGAATAGTGGTTATTGCACTGCTGTAAATAGTGTAAATAGTGCTGTAAATTGTGGGGAGATTGGACACAAATCTATAGGATGCACAGCCTCGTTAACTCTTCTGCTTTTACAACTCTTTTTCTGGTGACTCTGAAAGGGAAGAGCATCACTTGTGGACAGTGAACTTGACCTGCAGTCTGTGGTGCATCAGAGATCCTTTGTTCTAACAGATGTTTACAAGAAGATTAGCGCTAGGACTAAGGCAACAGACCAGCCTTTAGATTCAGCTCCCTGGCTCCCTCTGTGCTTGGGCAAACCATATATCTTTATAAAAGCATTTTGTGGTTGTTGTTTAAATACATTGAGGATCTAGATCCTCAAAGGCTTTCATGGATCCAGCCCTTGGTTTCACTTTTTCTCAGTACTTCAGAGCCAGAACAAGACTCTACTGTTCATTGCCTCTGTTGAGAGTGAAAACTCCTCCAGCAGGAACTGATGTTCTCTGTACATTTGTACAATGGGCCCAGGTCTCTGCTGGGACCTGAAAGGGATACCATAACCCAAGGAAGCAACAGTAATAGCATTGGAGGAGATACCAGGAGCAGAGCTGGTGTTAGAACCCTCTGCTGCAGCAGTCCTGGGAAAGGCTTGAGAAAGGATGAGAGTGACAATTTTGCAATCCAGTCTAAGTCAAGACAGTTTGACACACATTCTGCTCACAGCAATTATCTTGTTAGACCTGTAGTCTGGGACAAGGATGGAGGGTGGGATTTTGAAGGTCTACTCATGGTGGTATGAACAATAAAACTCCAGTGAGCTCCAGTGTCCGTAGCCATTAGCCTTCTGTAGGGACTTCATCACAGTCAGTACAGTAGCTGAAGCTGTCTTGTTTGGGAATCCCAGAAAGCAGGTTATCCACTCAGCAAAGAAGCAGGCATGAAATTTATTCAAATGCCTTTTCATGGAGCATTGGCTGGAAATTAAAGCATCATTTTCGTGTGCATGAGATTGGAAACAGGGTGTAGTGCAGTTGCAATATTTTTTATGTGCTCACTAGGGTTGTGCTGTGCATATGTAAAACTCTAGGAAAAACACAAAACTCAGAAACACTGTGTCATCTTGTAAATTAAACCCTGAGGTTTTTTTGGTCCCATTTTTTTGGAAGGAGTTTTAAAACAAACACTTTATTAAACTGATATAGACAGAGTGCTCTCACTATCTAGAGGCACATATCCATACACATACCTACTGAAATTGTGGCTTTTCCTGTTTTAACAGTTCTACAGTTATACCTGTAAGCTTCATACACTGAAATACAGGAAAAATTAATAGGAAAACCAGATTGGCTTGGCAGTGTCAGCCTGAGTTACTCCAGCTATACATAACACATTACTTGTTCGTAAAGCATCATGGTGAGGCTTTTTGAGATAGCATGTTGCTGCTATGGTTTAAAGATATTAAATAACCTCATAAGTAGTAAATGGTTAATGAATCTATGACTGACACCTCATTTAGAAGCTTAGGCAGGCAAATGGAAGTGAAATATGTCTGCCATTGGCAGTTCTTTTCCTTTACTGATCTCCTTGCCTGGTCAATGTCCAAGTGTGCATTCATGATCTGTGACAAAGCCCTGAACTGGAGGATACATACAAATAAAGAGCCAGTAATATGGTAAAAAAGGATGATGTGGAAGTTTCTCCTTCAGTGTGAGTATTTTGTCAGCTTGGGAAAGCCAGGTGTTCCCAAACTAACATGTTCTTGTTTGCTGGTCTGTTTCTGGATCTACATTTGTTTGGGTTTTTTTCCCCTTACTGGACTTGGGACAGACTTCTAGAGTCTCTGAGCAAAGTGGAGTGTGTTCT